GGCAACGAACCAACACCCGCGTAGTGGGCGTCACCTGGCTTCTCTTCATTCGGAAGCTCAGTCGTGACAGGGGCGACTGCAAGATTATCGATGAGCAGCAGTTCCCTGCAAACACGAGGGACGAAGAACCCACTAGCATGCGAATCACCAGCTTCCACAGCCCAGAGCGTACCCTCATGGGACCTCTCCTCGGGAGTTTTCGCAACGTCCTTCTCGTGGATGGTTCCAGGCAGCGAGCCCACTCCTTGACGGGAGCCGCTAGGAATCTCCCTGGTGGGTAGCTCCCACTTAGAATGAACACTCTCGGGCTGTGATGCACGCGCATTGGCATTTAAGAGGGCTGACAATGATCTCACCATCAATGAGAATACGGTGTGAAAGAGAAAGACATACGGAACAAATCCATGGTCTCGACGAGCCTCCTCGTGTCTTCCATTAAGCTCTCTGTCTGAGCTTCCATATTTCGCATCTCCTTGATCTCCCTCTGCATGAAGCCGTTATCGAAATCATCTTGCGGCCCTGTCAAATAGTCGGTCACGTAGACGGGAGAGTATGCATCGTAGAAGTTGGGCAGATTCACTGGACTCGAAGTACTCGACCTTGCCGGAGTCTCGGCGAAATGGGGTGTGATCGAGGCCTGCCTGAACGGCTGTATGTTAGACCAAATCTGGTCGAAGAGTGTTGAAGATGTCATCGAGTCGAGCAGCTGGTTCAATGGGTGCTCATTGTTGGTTTGTCAGTGATGCTTGTCGTGGGTGAAGGGCTCAAGCATCCAAGATGGGCGAACAAGCACTGTTGATATAACCCTCTAATGAACAGGGCTCCATAGTTGGTAGATCGTAGACTCGACTAGAAGGAAGTGTACATGCAAGTGAGTGAGTGTAAGATGACGCATTGACGGCGCACGGACCGTGACGACAAGAATTTAGTTGGAGGCGCGTTCTGATAGAATGTCGGAAACAGGCATCAATAATGAGATCTCTCAAGCTCGATCGCACGATCGTCTGTGCGTCACGTTACCGACGTAGAGTCTGGCACAGTAGGGTTGACTTCGTGCGAAACAATCTGTGGTTCATATTACTTACAAAAGAAATATACAGGTAAAACAAAAGACTGATGATTAGAAGCTGTTATCACCTTCTAAATTGCGTGGTTTGGAAGAACGAAGAATCACAGAATTAATAGAACCCTCAAAGATACCTGAGTTGAAGAGCCTGGTGCTGCGCGCAAGTTCCAAGTTCCTACCATGTGTGATATTGGAAGGAGAGGAAAGAACAGATGTATTATGGGCTCTGAGGAAGCATATACTAAGAACGTTTTTACAAGGCTAATTCATAGTTGTTACCAAGCTTGGCCGGTACTAAAATTTATGGAAATGCATGCAGTTTGTTTGAGCTTGAGGGTTCTTTCCTTTTATTAAGAAAATTTTCATCACATGAGGTAGTACTGGAGCGTCCATAGAATCCACATGGCATTGAGGATATCTTTTTATTTAAAATAAGGAGACAAACTGGTAGGCTATATAGATATTCATGACTCGTTCCTCTCTCTGTACTCAAGATATGTTTACCAATGTGTTTTTGTGCCTCTGTCCATGTGGAAATAATTTCGAAGGCTCATAGATCTACAGGTCGTCAGCAGTAACGAGCTGAAGAGCACAGACATGTTCGGTCAACAAAAGGGATCCACAAGACAAATTAGAGTCGTAGCATATAGAAGTATTACTTCGGCCTGAGGACGTTACGCCTGCTGTGCCGTGCATGTGCTTATTCTCACCTCGGATGGACATACGTTATGGCATCTTCGTTCTCCTTTGCCCCCTTCGTGATAGTGTTTATTTAATACTGGGTAGCCCGTCGTTTGGTTGGCCCTGTGTTCAACAAACCTCATTAATAATGAATTACAATCAAGACAATGTACTCACGCCCGTAACCTCTATAGCTGGAATTATTATAAGCTCCTGTAATTGTGGTAGACGTGGTGTTTCCAGAGTTCGTATTAGCGACTGTCGAAGAGTTATCGTTATCAATTTTATCCCCAGCGATAGACGTGAAAGTAGATGCTCCGGTCGGTGAGTGCAGTTGTATATTTCCGAAAGCAGTTCGAAGCTTTGGAAGTGCAGGGGTAGCGATGGATGAAGGAGCGGAGGAGCTTGTAGAGGAACGAGAATGCTTTGGACGAGCCGAGGAACCCGAAGAGTTTTTCGAAGTATCGACAGTCCGCCTTTCTTGCTCCTTAAGAGCCTGTGTTCCACCATCCCCTTGTTGACGACGTTGCATATCTGCTAGAATCTGTTCCTGCTGCTCCATCATTCGAGCAACACTGTCTCTCATGGATATGTTCGATTGAAGCTACAAATAACATAAACCCGTAAGTATATATATACATTGATACACGTATATTAAATACCCCAAAAATATCCAAAGACTGTCTTAACATTTCTCGATACCCTTGTATTTTACCCATATCAGACTGGTAGCGAAGGAGCCGCATTAACTTTCCACGTCGGCCTTCTTTTTCTGCAAATTTCTGGATAGAGTGTAAATTTCTATTAAAACACACTTAATTTGTATTCACAAAGAGGAGATTTAGAGCGCGAATGGATATTACTTACTTTACCAACTCGTCAGTATTATCGAACAGCGATTTATCAATCGTTTCTTTTCTGTACTGCATTTCCTGAACCGAGCAAACGACTGTATAGACAAGCCCACAGGCGTCTTTTGCCAGTTTCTTAAACGCCTCGCTATTTCCCTGTGCTGTCTAGTATAGTAATATTAATATCATATGATTCATAATATAGGTCTCGCGGTTCGTCGACACACCTCGACCATTTTCAAAATTCCGAGAGCTAACGAGGCGGCATCGGATAGACCTGGAACAGGTGACAATCGAGCGGCATCTTGAAGTGTAGTTAGAAGGATCCCGGTTAGCTCTATGGAGCCTTCCATAACTTTCTTCCCATTGGATGTGGATTCCTTTCGCTGTTGCATCGAATTGGATGGATGAAGAGAGTTGTGCCTCTGTAGTTTGGGCATAGCTGCGCAGTGGACGCTGAAAGTTTACAACGTGCCTTTAAGCAAGGCGAGGCCTGGAGCGAGACGTCATTGAAAATGGACGGCTCCTTTATGCTCAATGCGTGGTTGTCAGGTGCAAAAGAGCTTCTATGCGGATGAAGAGTCTAAATAGAGTCGCAATAAGATAGCTTCGTTTCTCTCTTTAGCGGCTGCCCTTTGTTAATATATCCGAATAACTGACACAGTGGATAAACGTCTTTAAATACTATTACATTGTATGACGATATCGAACATCCTTTGCGTTTCACATCATGCCTCATGTTGCTAGGGCACTCTGGACTGTCAATATTCAATTCAAAGCCAAGAAGAATTGGATAAATGATGTAAGCGAGAAACATAAAAGTTATATTACTCGTTCACCAAA